AGATCCGAGCTCAGATCTATGTAATGTAGATAAAATATAAAATAAAAAACCTGAATACACTCCTGTTTTATCAATTTGGTAAACATTACGATCGGTCTTCCGCCCACACCCCGGCACCCCTTTAACTGGTTTTATCATAGAATAAACAACACAAGAAATGGGATAATACTAATTTTTACTTACCACTTATTTGTAATACGGTCACAACAAAATACTGAAGGCAAATTCCAAATTCACACCACTTTTTGTCACCTTAATAGAGTAAACTACATTAATATATTAATAAAAACAACACTGTTTTTAAGTTTCACTACACAGTAGCTTCTTCAGAATTGGTACAGGGTGGTCCACGTAAGGTGACCCATATACTTATCTCAGAAACTACTGGGGTCACAAAAAAATTGTAGGAAACAAATATTCACGAAGTAAAAAATATTTTTAAAATATTATATTTTCATTTATACAGGGTGTTCCGTTTTCCTTGGGACGATACCAACTTTCTTATTTTCAATGGAACACCCTGTATTTTTTTGCATTTTTGGATTCTACCCACTCTTTTAGGTATACTTTGTAAATATATTAATTAAGAAAATGTTAATACTTTTTGAGTAAAATTAAGATTTATTAAAAATTCTCTAAATGTAGACACTCGCTAAAAGTTAAAAATAATCAACTAAAAGTTATTATTTTTTATATTATGTAGTATCCATCTCTTTAATAATAAGTAAGCTATAAGTTAATTATTATATTTTTTGGAAAATATCATACAGGGTGTTTTCTATGTCCCGTTGAAAATAGCGATTTTAAAAGTTTAAAATCTTGTTTTTCTTCAATGGAACACCCTAAATATTTTTGCATAATTGGATAGAATAAGTAATTACCTTTCATTTTATATATATATGTCCTATACCTAAACCTAACAGAAAAAAAAATATTCGCATTTTTCACAATTAGTAGCTTTTTTCCAATTACCTTAGTTAAATTTTCATTATTCAAATAAATAAATTTCAATAACAACAAATAAAAATGCTTTTATATATAAATATATTACTATAATTATTATTATAATTACCATACGCGCAAAGCTACTAATTTTGTAAAATGCGAATATTTTTTTTAGGTGATCCACGTAAGGTGACCCATATACATATCTCAGAAACTACTGGAGTCAAAAAAAATTTGTAAGAAACAAATATTCACGAAGTAAAAAATATTTTTAAAAAATTATATTTTAATTTATACAGGATGTTCGGTTTTCCTTGGGACGATACCAACTTTCTTATTTTCAATGGAACACCCTATATTTTTTTGCATTTTTGGATTCTACACATTCTTTTAGGTATACTTTGTAAATATATTAATTAAGAAAATGTTATTACTTTTTGAGTAAAATGAGGATTTATTAAAATTTCTCTAAATGTAGACATTCGCTAAATTAACCAACTAAAAGTTATTATTTTTTATATTATGTAGCATTCATCTCTTTAATAATAAGTAAGCTATAAGTTAATTAATTTATTTTTTTGGAAAATATTATACAGGGTGTTTTCTTTGAATAATGAAAATTTAACTAAGGTAATTGGAAAAAAGCTACTAATTGTGAAAAATGCGAATATTTTTTTTTCTGTTAGGTTTAGGTATAGGACATATATATATAAAATGAAAGGTAATTACTTATTCTATCCAATTATGCAAAAATATATAGGGTGTTCCATTGAAGAAAAACAAGATTTTTAACTTTTAAAATCGCTATTTTCAACGGGACATAGAAAACACCCTGTATGATATTTTCCAAAAAATATAATAATTAACTTATAGCTTACTTATTATTAAAGAGATGGATACTAAATAATATACAAAATAATAACTTTTAGTTGGTTATTTTTAACTTTTAGCGAGTGTCTACATTTAGAGAAATTTTAATAAATCTTAATTTTACTCAAAAAGTATTAACATTTTCTTATTTAATATATTTACAAAGTATACCTAAAAGAGTGGGAAGAATCCAAAAATGCAAAAAAATACAGGGTGTTCCATTGAAAATAAGAAAGTTGGTATCGTTCCAAGGAAAACCGAACACCCTGTATAAATGAAAATATAATATTTTAAAAATATTTTTTACTTCGTGAATATTTGTTCCTTACAAATTTTTTGTGACTCCAGTAGTTTCTGAGATAAGTATATGGGTCACCTTACGTGGACCACCCTGTACATATTTTATCAAGTGGCGGTATTTATATTAACAAATGGCAGGTAATTTAAGAAAATAAAATGTTGTATAAACATTATACCTGAAGGTATTAATAAAACTTACATAATTTTGGAAAAACTAAGGGTTTGGAAAGTCCAATCTAATATAATATTATAATATTAATAAACTAAAGAAAAATTCTGATATTGTTCTTAATGACAAATTGAAACTAACAGCTCGCCTCTGCTAAATTTATTTTAGAGTGTATACTTGTAGTACTAAAAAATAATATTTATTAATATTATAATATTATATTAGATTGGACTTTCCAAACCCTTAGTTTTTCCAAAATTAGGTAAGTTTTATTAATACCTTCAGGTATAATGTTTATAACATTTTATTTTTCAAATTACCTGCCATTGCGAATGCAGTTTGCACTCAGAGAAATATCATGTCCTGAAAAGCATACGAAATTATATTAATTTAAATAATCGGGTAAATTTGATTCAAATAGAAATTTTTTTAGTTTTATATTCATTTACCAACAGTTTTACAATGTTTTTAAACACTTTTATTGTGTACCATCTTTAAAATATATATACAAACAGAAATCTATTTATTTAATTGCCTTTTTTAACGTTGTATCAAAAAAATATGTATTATGCAATTGTTATACACCTATTAATTTAATGGGAAACGCCAATGACGCCAAAACATATTTGAATCCCTTTGAATTATTATCGTTTTGAATGATTCTATCTATTCTATGATTTTTTCTCTCAGTGTGGCTAGTTTGTAAACTATCCAGCTTTTTTATAAACACATTAGCCGTGATATATATTTTATGCGATTTATGATTCAAAGATCAGCACTTGACACCTCGCTTGACACTCGATTATTGCGAAAGATATCTGAGTCGGCAGAAGGATTTCGTGGATTTTTAGAGCGATTTCGGAGATTTCGGCGGGATTTCGGAAGGATTTCGGGGATTTCGGAAGGATTTCGGGGATTTCGGACGAATTTGTGACAAGATTTCGGGGAGTGGTTAACCCCTCGGTTTTATCTGAAACTTACATTTAACAACTGAATCACAATCAGGAGGTCAAAATTATAAAGAAAACATGTCACGAACGTAAATATCGGTTCAGGATTACTTAGTTTTCGCAAATTTTCACCAAAATGTCATTTTGAAAAAGTGGTCTTAGGCTTAGGCCCCTCTGAAAATAATGGAAGTTTGTTGCTTGTCGCTTGTTCAGAATTATTCAAGGAACAATCTTTCACCACCCAATCTTCTTGTTCTTAAAAGGACTGAGTGTATTGCCTACCAAAAAGCCTTAAATGTACTCTTTTAAAAAAAAATCAAATTTTCTTTGCTAAGATTCCAATACAAAAAATTTGAAAACCATTTCAAGGTAAGACATAATACTTCAATATTTCAAAGTAAAAACGAGAAAAAAATTATTTTTTTACAAACGGGGCTTGGATGAAATTTTTGAGCGTTTTACATATCACCCTGTACGAAATTTACTTGAAGAACCGTGAGCTTCATATCTATAGCATTAATTGCCAGAGGATAGAGCTAGCAGAAATCACAGACCAAAATAAAATCGTTAAAGAAACACAAAAGTTATATCGTTTTGAAAAAGGACGAACTTTTTGGTCGCGACACATTGAGTGGTGCGCAGTTTAGTTACTTTTCTAAGATACTTTAAACAAAATAACTTAGTTACCTCTGGTAACTAGATACTTTGAGTTAAAAGTATCTTTAGTTACAAGATACTATCCGAAAGTATCTAAGATACTTTTGAGTAACTAAGATACTTTTAAGTAACTAAGATACTTTTGAGTAACTAAGTTACTTTTAAGTTTGAATAAAAACTATAAAATTATAAAAATTCAACAAGTTGTAGGTTAGGTAATTACTTTGAATCATTCTGGAATTCCCCAATTTTCTCCAAGAAAGTATCAGTTATTTTAAAAAGTATTTTAGTTACTTTAAAAAGTATTTTAGTTACTTTAAAGTATCTAAGTTACTTGAATGTATATTAGTTACCTTACCGAGTAACTTAGATACTTTTTAAGATACAAGTTACAAGATATTTTTCCAAAGTAACTAAGTTAAAGATACTTTTTGTCCAATATAAAAAGTATCTAAGATAAAGTATCTTAGAAACTTTAAGTATCAAAGTTAATTTTAAGTATCTTTTTTTTTCAAGATACTCCCAGCTCTGTGTACCATAGACTTATTTATTTGTACACATATTTTCTGAAAAAAACTGAATTTTTAACTTAAAATGTATATGTATAAAAATTATTGAATTTATCTTTCAAACCTCAAAATAATGTATTATTAATTGTAATTGGAAGCACATTAAAACTTAAAATATATAAATAAAATAAAATATACTATATTTATCAATGCCTTTAGGTAAGTAATACAATTTATATTATCTTACCAATTTCTAAACATGCTGTACTCATTGTATTACATATTATAAAACACAAATTGTTAGTAAAAAATCCACACAAAAACAATCTAATAAAAAAACACATTCTGTAAAAACCCAAGCAAGACACATACCTACACAGATTTTGATTTAACTTTTATTATTTTATTACACCTACCTTTTTTCGTAAACACAAGGAAATTAAAAAATTTAACACATTGAGCACCTGAAATTAAAAACTAAAATAACAGGCAGTAAAATTAATTCTTATTTTTGACTAAAACTTGCAAAATACAAAAAAAATCTAAATAATGTAAAATACCACGAACAAACAACTGTTGAGTAAAACCAAGAGTACTTACTGTATAGTCTTGTATAGGTCCCTGATTTTCTGGTGGATAGGATGCGATCTGACCCTAAGAAGCTCGAGAGCCCTCTGTTGAAGTTCGTTCTTTCTCCCTGACTTGTTTCTTCCGGCAAAACCCAATAACATCTGAAGCTCAGACACTCTGAAGGTAACTAGCATATTCTACAAAATAAACACCCAATTTGACCACAAATGAACATTTTATACTAGAAAACGCATTGTTAGCAATGCGTTAAAGTAGTACACAGTTGGTCTAAGATTTTCATTTACCCGCAACTCATCGATGTTTTCTGACATTTCCTATTTGGTTTCCACGTGAAATCCAGCAAATTTAAACCTCTACAAACCATTTAAAAAACTAAAATTAACCCGCTCATCAACGTCAGTACACAGTGTCTTTTTATTTATATTTTAACGCCAAATACACAAAACATTTTAACTAATACGCACACATTTACACTAATACTGAATGTTGTCCCATGTAATTTTAAGTTTTTTAGTAAAACTGGCGAGATTTTTGCTTGCAAAAATCGCTTGGAAAGCCACAACCGCGAAGTAGAATTTTTGGTGACAACATCTGTCAATTTTCGTAAAAATCCCTAGATTATCTCGGTTTATAATATTGGTACCACTTAAAGTTTTGTTATATGGTTGAAATTTGAAAATGTTAAAAATTTGTGAAAAATAATAAGTTACGAGTTATTTTCTTATATAAAGCAATCACGTTTATATAATACACACTTTCATGTATTATAAAAAGCGAGATTTAAAAAAATTATATTTAAAACCTTATCGATTGAATATTAAATATTCAACAGGTAAATATTGTCATTTTCAGCCCCTTTTTATAGATTATCACCAAACAGATTTATAATTTATTAAATAAAAGATTGTAGTGGGACAAAACATAAGATTTTAATACAACCTAACCTAAAAAATGATCCACGAAACCCTTTTTAACATTTGGAATTGTCCAGGGGAATTTTTGGATAAAACCGACGTAAGTATCGTTCCATTAAAAGTAAACCTATTTAAAACATCATATTTAGTGGACGTATTTATTGGAGTTGCAAGAATTTTCTCATCCAGGTGAAGAGAAACTATTATTATGGATCATAGAAATAGCGATGGATTATCACAAAATTTGTGCTTTTACAAAGCAAGTTTTAAATCCAATTCCTGCCATACCCTGCCCTCAACTACAAGATTCCTTCGATAAAGATAAATCAGTTAAAATCTTACCACCAGGTTTGTATACTCAAGCATTTTGCATGGGTACCCAAAAAGTGTTGGAGGGGTACAGAAAAGAAATTATCAGACTTGAAGAAATGTTTTTGGAGAACCCTGCTTTGCCCCTTACATATATTTTAAGTACTATTGAGGGTTACAGAGGATTATTTTCACTGTTGAAGACAATGATACAAACTATACAAACGGAGAATTTACATGGGTGTTTGTTAATGGGCAGGTTACATAAATATATTAACTGTGGAAATCAGGAACAATCTATGGCAGCAGATAAGTAAGTAGGCTTTGATCAAATGACAGTCGGTAGACCAATAAGATATCCTAAAATTGATTAGATTTCAGTAGGCTTTGATGAGTTTAACCAATCACAATAAATCTCTCCATAGTTTGACAGTTAGTTGGCAAATGAGAGAATTTTGTTAAAACATGATTTTGTAACATTGTTTTTGCAGGATTATACAATCAATAAACACAATATTCTATAGACATTTGTGTAATTGGATTATTTATGGTGATTTAGTTGATATTTATGGTGAATTTTTTATTTGCGATGGTAAAACAGCAGATGAAAATTTCCAGGGCCCCACTCAGTTAGATGAGTCGACTATAGATGTAAAAAAACATTCCCAGTTTTTTGTAAGACATTTCATTTATATTCCCCTCTATTTCTTATAAAACATTTTAGAAACGTACTAGGATTCAGCCCCCACCTTTGGTTCGTAAGTTTTTCATAAACTGGAAAATGGTTCCAATATTTATAGATGAAGAAACTGCTGAAAGTATTTTATTCATGGGAAGAATTGTCTGGATTGTGAGAAATGATCCGAAAAATTCTGGCGATGAAAATTACGAAATTAAATATAAACGTGATATATGGGAGGGAAAAGATATGGAATATTATAAAAAATTACAAGCTTTGGAATCACAAAGTTTCAATAAAGCATTATTTCAAAAAACTATAGAGGAATGCAGATTAAAACTAACTAAGGTAAGATTAGAGTAGGCTTTGGTCAATTGACAGTTTCAAGGAATCAAATTTGACAGTTAGTTGGCCAATCACAAGCCCAGATTTGTTTAAAGCCAACAAATTTTAGTATTTATGGACTGTGATGTTGGATGAGGGTCATTTAATGGAACATCTACAGTTAATAAGGGATTATTATGCACTTGGAAGGGGAGAATTGTTTCAGCAGTTTGTAACAGTTGCTGAAAAACAAATGAATAACAGATCTACCAACTCTATAGTGCAAAATTTAAATTCAGTGTTTTTGGAGACTGCTAGAAAAATATATGGGGAGAATGATAAGACTTATTTAAAATTTGAGTTGGCAACTTCTAGATCAAATATTTCAAGTATTAATATCTATATAATGTAATATTTTTTGATGGTAGAACTTAGCATTTTGTAGAAACAAACCTTTGGGCAAGATTGAAAATTAATTTTGAAGTGAATTGGCCACTTCACATTGTTTTTCATCCAAAAGTGATGGAGTTGTATAATAAGTTGTTTTGTTATTTGTTAAGAATGAAAAAAACACAAATTGATTTGCACAAATTGTGGCAACTGCATGCCCTCAAAAAAGGATCTTCTGTGTGAGTTTGTTTAATATTTTCACAATTTTCATGATTTTAATTTTTAATAATTTATATAGTTTTTATCTTTTAATAATTTTTTATGATGTTCCTAAAAGTTATCTTTTTATTTGCCTATTGTTTTAGTTATGTTTTTTAATTATTTTTAATGTTTTTACTTTTTTAATATTATTTGTTTTTTATAGTTTTCCAAAAATTTTGTTTGCTAGTATTTTTATAATCCCTAGTTTTTTAAATTTTTCCTTATTTTCAAATTTTTTTTACTAATTTTTATTTTTTTTAATGATTTGTACTCTCTAATGATTCTTCTAAATTTTCGTTTTAATTTATTACCGTTGCTAGGAGAGATGTATTTAATTTGTTATCATGGGATTTTAGTAATTTTATAAATCTAGAATATAGGTTTATTATTGCGTTACCATGACAACCATACAGTTAATAGGCACTTATTTACTGTTGCTAGAGACACTATTTTCCTTAGATACCGACGGATGCCCTTAAAGCAGTGGTTTCCAAACTGGGGGGAGTGAAGTAATGTTAATGGGAGCGTAAGTGCACAGAAAAAAAAATTGTTTTTAACAAAAATTTTGATAAGAAAATATTAAAAAGTTAATCCTTGCTAAAAAAATAAATATAAAGCATTCAATATTTAAACTTTCAATTTAGGGACGGCTCGGGCGATGAGTAAAATTTACTCAGTAAATTTGCCGCCCCATCTGCGCAGTGACTCGCTTAGGGAAAATGTTAAGTAGAAGATTATTTTGAATGCTTGAAAAAAATAATAACACGAAATTATAATTTTTAAAAATAAAAACAAACACTTTATTACGGTTACGGTTTCAGCCAGTTTTGACCAGAAATGCAGTTTTGGCCAAAAAGTGGCTGAAACTTCAGCTCGGCGAAACCAAGTAGGTATTCGATATTCGAATTTTTTCCTAATTTAAAAATCGAATTTAAATTAAAAATAAATATATTTATTATAATACTCACTTGGTACATTTTTTTATTACAAAATACATTGTTATGTAGTACCCATAAATTAAAAAAAGGAATATAAACGCAAAAGTAAAACCATGTATCGTTTATAAACAATTATAATTAATGTTTCAATTAGGTGTGTTAATTAACAATATTTATCATTAATGTGTAATCGTTATCAGGTGTAAACTAGGTACATATGTATATACTATACTACTACTGACATTTTAAACCAATGAAATTTTAACTTGACTTCATAAGTATTGGTTTCCGTCGAAACTAGAAGAGGAGCCGAATATTCAGTTACGGTTTCTGCCAAAAAACGTGTTTCGGTCGGACACTAATTTCTTCCATTTTTTTTGGGTTATTTTGTGAAATACATAAATATAAATGATAAAGCAGTAAAGTTCTTGTCTAAATTATCAGGGGGCGTAAACATCTCATATCAAAACCCCCCACATAGGAAACAGTTTAGGAACCACTGTCTTAAAGTATAAAAAAGCAAATTCCCATAATACATTTTTAATTTTTTTTGATAGGTATGACAAATTTTTTTAGTTTGTTAACTCAATTTTAGTGATAGAAGAGTTTGGACTTTGAGACAAAAATTGATGTTTCTTGTGAATAATTTGCAGTATTATTTACAAGTTGATGTTATTGAAGCACAATTTTCTGTTTTATTAAAAGCAGTTAAAAACGCAAGCGAGTTTGAGGATATTATTAAACTACATCACGATTTTGTTAGTAATTTGTTGGCGAAAACGTTTTTGTTGACTCCTGATGATGTAAGATTTATAACTTTTTTCTGTAAAAAAAAATTAATTTGTAATTTTTAGAGCCAAACTTATGATAGTAAACATAAGTTGTATCAGATTCCGGCTATACAATACAATGAACCCAGCAAAGTATGTTGTTAATTTATTAAAAGAAAAACATCTGCAAATTATTTTTTTTAGGTTTATAATGTAATTATTCACTTATTGGAACTTTGTGATGAATTTTGTTTGGTCGCGACGACATGGGAATTAATTTTAACTGAACCTGAAGTTATAGATTTAAATAAATTTCAAAAAGAATGTGATATTGTTGTAGAATCTCTTTTACTAATTTTACAAAGCTTACATGAAAAAGCCAGTGGTCAACACTTATTACAACTTATATTACAGCTTGATTACAACAAATATTTCAGCAAAAATCGTATGGATTTAAATTTAACAATGTCTTAATCATTTTATTACCATTTTTATAAATTTATTTTATTTATTAAGTGTTAAATAAAATATTGTTATACTCTGAAAAATTTATTAAATCTCACTTTGCACCTCATTTTTTATAATAAATACCTAGGCAATAAATATATTAAAATGTAACCCTCACTGTCTTTTTTTCATAACCTTCATGAAAAGCACCATATCTAAAAAAGAAAGAGTATGTTGATTAAAAGTCAAAAACTTTTAACAGTTAAAATATTTGACGTATAATTTGACCTCACTTACTTATAAAAACAACCATAACAATGACCAGCAAAACCCACATCCAACATTTCCAGGCCTTCTTGGAATGTTCAGTCAATTTCACAGATTCCACACCTAATTTGTCAAAATTTTGTTCTGTTAACTGGGTGGCTCGCCCTACAACTTCAGTATCTTTCTTGATGATTGTGTTAGCTAACTGAGATTGTTCTTTTAAAGTTTTGGCTATGGAAACCATGTCATCGGTGATTTTTTTCTGCCTTTCCTCGTGATAATTTATTACAGAATCCAAATCTCCTTCCCCTACATTAGGTTTTGTAATATTTCTATGCCTTACCCCCAAAAGCTCGTTTCTTGTGAGTTGGGAGTCATTTTCCATCTCAAATTGGTTTAAACTTATTCCTACAGCTATTTTTATGGCTGTTATGCGTTTCTGGTAATTTTGCAATGTTTCATTATTTGAACTTCTGAAATATAATTGTATATAGGCAACCAAAACAGCTATGTCTGATTGTGGTTGCAAAAACTTAAAATTATTTTTGAGTTTGTTATTTTATTATTAATAATAACACTACATTTTTAGAAAAGAATTAAACAAAAATGTATAATATTACTTACTCGTATGTGCTTCTAACCTCCTGTAGCATATCCTCCAAAGAATTAACATATTTTCCAAATCTTTCATCTTCTTTTTGATTGTTTTTTACCATTAATTCACATTTTGCCAACAAACGTCTTAAATTAACTTCCTGCCTCGACAAACCCATCTAGAACAAAATAAGAACTAAAATATTTTTCAAACATATTGGTATATTTTTTTTAAATTATTGGTATGACCAAAAAAAACCGCCTATTTTGTTTTGAAAATGACAATGAACGTTGGGACACGTCATATTTTTAATTATAAATAAAATAAAAAAACACTTCAGCTATATTTAAATTATAAAGAAACACTCAAAACAACTTTAAAACATTAAAAACCACAAAAGGAACAATGTAAGTAAATCATATTAAATTATCATGAACTAACCTTAAATAGGTAATATTTCCTCACAGACGTTCAGTTTGTTACAAAAACAACAAACCATCAATATAAACCTAAAAAATCATAAAATCTTTACTACATACTCATTTATATCTCGCAATTCACAAATCTAAACAATTTTAATTTAAAATTAATTCCAGATTGACGTATGTCAGATTCTAGGAGATTTCAAGTGGCGTACATACGAACTACCGGTATACTACCGTGACGTCATAAGGGCGCCAAAATGGAAATACTTGAAAATAAGTTGAATTCTAACGATCCCATCGTGGTGGCTAAAGTAATTTCGAGTGTGGTGAAAAATATTGCTGCCAAGCAGAAAAGCAAGACTGAAAATGTGCCTGAGTTGAAGTTTTTGAATGATAAATGCATCAACAATGATCCACTCATCAGCGAAGTAGCTTGCAGTGGTATTTTGTATTTAGTTGAGGCTGATGTTTTGGATGTTGAAACTGTTTTACATGATTTTGCAACGAAAATATCCTCCGTAAAGTAAGGTTATATTTTTTACATCAAGTTTGACAGTTAACTGTCAATTATCACTTGTGACATCACAATATGGCATTTAAATGTCAAACTTTTTGTTAATTTGGTTTTTAGGTGTTTTTCTGGGGTCGCACATTTATTAGGGGAGTTATTATGTCTGGAACTATGTAAAAACTTGGAGAAAAACAACAAAATTTGTCAGTATAACTTAAGATTTCCTCAGCATCCATTTGTAACTTTATTACACGAACATGTCTCAAGTTGGACTAGTATTTATGATGAAATAAATTTAATTTATAGCAGAGATGAGAAAAAGTACGTTTTTTTACTTAACCTATTATTTTTTATTTTGGATTTTTAGTATTGTTAAATATAGAGACAAATTATTTTGGCCTATATTCTTGCACTCAATATGTGATCCTGGAGAATCAGGAATTGATGTTTTGAAAGAAAAATTATGGAGATTTTTGATAAATAATTATACAGGAAAGGAATTGTTTTTGGACATAATAACATGGTTACCAGTGAGTTTACTTTATGAAGTTTTTTATTTGTTATTTATTTATTGTTAATTAACACAATTAATATTTCAATTGCAGATTGAGTCAAAAGCCAACATAGTTTTAATGAATGAATTTATATTAGAATCTTTACAATCAGTAAAAAACACAGATTTATTAAAAATTCTCATTCTATGGCAAGTTTCAGCTCTTTATTACTTAATACTGCACAAAAGGAACCCAAGAAATATACTTGAGAAACTAAAATCAATAATTTTAAAAGAAGAATATCAAAATATTGCCAATCCAACCATATACATTCTTACAAAAATTATACGAGTATGTTCTTCAGTTTATTTAGAATGTTTGTTAAATTTTACTAAAGATTTATTAAATTATTTTACATGTGATAAATACTCACTTAATGCTTTAAGATCGTCATTAATTCATTTAATAGCAAATACTTCACTGTTAAATAATAAATCAGTTGATACAGCTAAAAATATATATTCTTATATTGAGAATAACAATAATAAAATATGCGAATTTACTCGCGATTTTTTTGCTAGTAATGCAAAATTAATTGTGAGTAATAGCGAGGTTTATTTATCCGTTAAATTAACAGAGTTATCCAGTGAGATAAACCTGGATAAATTTGTGGTTTCATTGGAAAATACACCTCTATATTTTAACAAAAGTATAATACACTTTCTCTATGGTGTATTTGTACAAAATAATCCGGCTGAAGTAGAAGAAAAGTTGCTTGAAATTATTATAAAAACCGCTGAGTTTGCGATGGAAATATCACCGGAAATATTATCAGTGGTTCTGTATAAGTTATCAAAGACAAAACACCCCATGTTGCATAAAAAGTTGCTAGAATCGCTACCAAAATTACTTATCTATAAAGAAAATTACCATAAGGTTGTAGCTACCATACAAGTACTCAGTAAAGGGGCAACTAGGCTGCAAAATATAAGCGCACTGTTAATGTTTGAAATCTGGAAAATCGACGATCGTTCTTACACTAACTTGGAAAATATTCTACTCCTGGAAACACCCAGTGAAGATATACTAGAATTTTTGTCCACAAAAGCCTTTATTCTCAAAGAAATTTGCAAAATTAAACCGGAAAAGTATGGCAAAGAAATTGTCCCGCATTTATCAAACATCCTCAATAAGCACAGTGGCGAAAATGGGGATTTACCGTGCTCTCTAGCCATTGAGGGGATAACCCATTTATGCAAGGCTGAAGTAATTGATGCTGTAACCACATGGGCTAATATTTACCCCAAATTTAAAGGTGATATGCGGATACCAATCATAAATAGGTAAGAATATCTACAAGAGCGTCTATATTTTCTTAATTTTTTTCTTAGTTTTTGTAACTTCATCCACGAAATACCTCACCTACCATATGCTGACCATTACCCTCAACTTATTGAAGAAGTAGTTGGTACATTGTGGCATTACGTTATATTAACAGACAATACAAAAATAATAAAGGTCGCACTAAATGGACTTACGTCTTTTACTCTGGAACAAATTTCAATGAAAATACCGGACGATTTTTTGGACGCAGATACACTGGAAAGCAAAGAAAGTGCTCCAAGTGGAACCCCATTTACAATTCCAGGTATAGTTTTGACACATAGATGTCGCCGCTAGTTAATAAGCTTCATTATTTTAGGAAAAACTTGGGTTCATTTTTTAAAGAAAGTCGACGAAAAAAACTTAACAGTTTTTGGCGATTTTCTCATAAAAATGATTTCAATTGAAATTGATAATTACTTAAAATACGTATACCAAGTAAAGGGAAATAACGAACCAATAAATTTTAACGGGTTACCATTGTTCAGCATTGTTAGAGGCATAGGGGAATATCTCAAACAATGGGTAACAAATTTTGTAGAAATATTTTCATGCATTATTATTTTTTTAAATTCTAGTTGTCAAAGTGGAAAGACTTGAGCACGTCAATAATTTATATAGAATGTTTAAGGATTTTCAGTCAAGAATACATTAAACCCTTTCCGCCATATAACTGGAACTTTTTGCTGGAACTCATAGATGACCCCAGGGTTAGAAATTATTGCATTGATATAGCTTGTCATCAAGTTATTTTATCAGGTTCTGCGAGACAAATAATCGAGAATTTGGTTGGAACTTGTAAAAATGTAAGTTTCGGTAAAAAACGAGCCAAAGAGGAGTGTTGTAAACTATTTTTTTGTAGAAAGATGACATGCTTTGTATTTACAAAAACCTTAGGCATTTGGCGAATAGTTTGCAGCCTTTAACTTTAAAGCCTTTCTTTGAAACTTCAATAAAATTTGGCATTTCTCTTGAAAAAGAAGATTCAATTTTTTTGGGTACAATTCTTGAACATCTTAAAGAAGTTTTGGCTGATAAGGGTATACAAGATATTAACAAAACTACAATTTCTGAGGTTCTTGTTGATATTTTTTATAATACTGAAAAATCATCAAAGGTAAACAAAACACTTTATTGTAATGTAATGTATTTTTTGACAGGAGGTATTATTTTAGTTTTTTGTAATTTTTATGGATTTTGCTCCAGTTTTGCCTGATAAATTTATAGAAAATCTTACTTCGTTAAAATGTTCGCAAGTGACACAAGAGTGGTTTGAAAAATCTGTAGCAATAAGGTGTAAAATAGCTGAAACAAATAGAAATAGTGGATCTCCTATGGACTTACTAGAAGAAATCCTAGATGTTGTTTGTGGAAACAACCTAAAAAAGTAACTCTTGGTTTTTACAAAAAAAAATTTTACAACTTCTTTAAATTTTAGTGCAACAGATTTGACTTTTACCCATTTTAAACAAGTTTTCCATAAACAAATTCATAATACAGACTGCGCCTTATGGCTTTTGGATTTAATAGGAAAAATAGGGCGAAAAATAGTGGCGAATCAAAGTGAAGAAAAACATTTAGTTTATTTGTTTGATGTTTTTATTTTGGCTGTTGTTATTTTTTCTGGTCACTCTGTTTTTCTTGATAAAGAAAATGATATTTTTGATTTGTTTCCACAAGCTTTTACAAGTCTGTTATTGGTTGATCATTGGAGTATTTGTGTTAACCAGGTACCTACAGTAATATTTTTATTGTTTGAGATTTTATCAATATTTGTTTATAGGGGTTAGAGTGGTTATACTATATTAACTCTGAAGAATATATACCCAAAAAATATAGGGACATTTTTGGCATAACTTTACAATGCTTTAGACACCATAATGAATTCACAAAAAACCTTAAGTGGATGAAATGGATGAAACTGGACTGTTAAACGTAATTTTTTTTAACAAACAAATAAAGAATATTTTTAAGTTTAAATATTTATTTTATTCCTTAAATCTATTTTGGTCCAAACTGTATTAAGTCCACTTTTTTAAAACCAAATTACACATTTTCCAGCTAAACAGGATTAAGTGCTGGCTTACTTAGTTCAAAGTTCAGAAAAATGTAGACAACAAATTTGTAATTTGATTTAAAAAAGTGGACTTATACAGCTTGGCTCTTGGGTACACATAATAAATAAGTGATAAAATGCAACACTCACAGCCTAACACCTAGGTCCACACACAATATTGCCTTAAACTGACGTTTCCGTATTTTCTCTTTCTGGTACTGCAACTGTCAAAGTAGTTGGCCTTGAATCAACCCTTTCAGAAACACTTAATATTTCTTCAGTTGGTAGACATGGAGGTGGTGGATTGGGGTGTAATCTTGTTGGGTCCAAGAGATTTTTGTTTTTTTCGTGTATCTGCTGTTTTTTCTGCGGCGTACGATTCGGCGATGATTTTCTGCTGTTATAAGATCTTAGGAGCTTTGCACTGAAAGAAAAACAACAAAATTAACTAGTTATAGGTCATTCATACATTTATGAAAATAAACTTGGCAGTTACTATATTTTAGTGTCACAAACATCAACTGTCAAATTTGACACAATAAACGCCAAAATCATGGCAATCTTGTTTTTCATATAACTTTTTAGACACTTTATAAAATATACTTACGCATCAACCAGCTTCATGAGTAATCTTGTAAACTGCTGATATTCCTCATCCCCAAAATGATTAGGGTCATGTCTAGCATGTTCATATAAATCGCAAAACTGGTGTATTAGTCTTTGTCCACTACCATTTAAAGGAGCTGCCAGGGTAGTTAATAAATAACCTCTTAGATTTTCACCAGGATTCCTTACCAAACAACTGTCTTGCTTTGTGATCTCGCCCTCCAATATTTTGACATCATCAACAGCTTTAAGTCTGTAATAATGCGCGGGAATTTGCTGACCAGGGCACACAATATACCTTGGATCAGTTTTGCTTATCAATTGGGGTTCGCATATGATTTTACCAATTAAATCAAACCTCCGTTCAATCTCTTTTTTTAATACTTTTGAAGCGTCCAAACCGACTTGCACATGGGGCCCACGACGCGATCGCAGCGTAAACCGCATTATTTGTCTTTTGGCAAATATAAACAACAGTATAAACGTCAAAAATCCAGCCCCTATTATTATAATCACAGTCACTCCAGATAGATCCTCTGCCATGTTCTTCGGTTTTGTTAGCAGTTCTGCGTGAGCTTGCATTTGAAGATCTTTGTGTTGAATTTTATATTTCGTGTTTTAAACCATGTTAATTTGACTTAAATGGGTCATTTAAACTACACCATGAAGCTAGCCGCAAAACAGATGAACTACTATTGCCACCATTGTTAAAAACATATACACTGAGAAAAATAAAAATCGAATTGTAATAATAGGTGTTTTCGCGGTGCTAATCCCGAACTAGTTCGGACATCCTAGGCATGCGCATTTTAATATTTGTCATGCTCACTTTCCATTTTTAACCCCAAATTATAAAAAGCGCATGCCTAGGATGTCTGGAATTAGTTCGGGATTAACTCCGCGAAAATAGCTATACTAATAATTACCTACATAAAAACAATAAATTTTGGTTTTCGTCATTTATTCGATAAAATTAAATAAAAAATTACAATTTTTTGTATACTTAAGATTAATTTGTACTTTTTGTTCACAATTCACAATTAAAATGAAATATATATATGCCACATTGAGCAAATCCGCATAAAAGTTAAATAATAGTAAAATACATGTACACTTGTTAAAACTATTGCATCATGTATTACTGAACGTTAAAAGTTTTGTGTATTAAGAAATATCAATATTTTAGGAAAATGAGTATTTTTGGACTTAACTATTGTTACATATAATGTGTGTAAGTAAGTGGACTATTGCATATTGTACCTAATATTAAGCTTAAATACTATAATAACGCGGTTTATATCGAAAATTCGGATTCAGTCTAAATATTTGCCTAATATAACAATTTTTATCACTTCTTTTATCAACATTAAATTGCCAAAATAAATTTCTAAAATTTAGCACCACTTCGGAAGTTTGTAAATATTCTCATCAAATATAAATAAATTTACTCTTTTGCATGAACTTTCAAATGCCTCTTTAAATGCGCAATTTGCGAAAATCTCCTATTACAAAACTCGCACAAAAACGCCTTTTCCCCAGTGTGAGTTACATGATGTTGCTTCAGCTCTTGTTTTGTGTAAAAACTCTTTGAACACACATTGCAAAAAAACGTTTTGTTACCTGTATGGTGTTTCATGTGAGTGTATAAATTACTGGAACTACCAAATTTCTTGCCGCATTCACTGCAAATATAAGGACGCTCGCCTTTATGCACCATAGTGTGTTTTGTTAACTCTTGTTTTGTGGAGAAAGATTTTGTGCATAGGGAACACTTATGCGGTTTTTCGCCTGTGTGTTTTCTCATGTGAGTTATTAAATGACCTGAGTTTATGAATCTTTTCTCACATAAATGGCAATGGTATGGTTTTTCTCCTAAAAATCAACATTTTATGTTTTCTTAACAATTTTAATAATTGCCATTTTGTTTAGAAAATGGTATATTTACCTGTATGAATGCGTAAATGTTGTGTTAAATACTCTCTTCTGTTAAAAATCTTGCCGCAAGTTTCACATTGATGTATCTTTGAGTATCTTTGTTTACTTTTGATTTCTGTCATACTTTGCTCAAGATTAGATGATTCTTTCTATAATTTCACAAATTAAACACGTTATTTTTGACTTATACACAAAAAAACTCACTGGTTTAGCAATATTAGTTGTTTCTGGTAGTGTTAACTCAAAATTTACTGTTTTGTTGCAAGGGTAATCAATTTTTTTACTGTTATTGTTAAGTATGCACAATTCTTCGCTCCCCGAGAGACTAGCTTCATTTGCAATTTCGATATTGGTAATACTGGGGCCCAAATAAATCTCCCTGAGTTTGGCATCAGAGTTCTCACAGAGAATTTTAAACTGCCATGCCATGTTAAGTTTTATAAAACATTCATGGCAAATTATGTTTGGTAGACCATCTGTTTCTGAAATCTAACAGAAAGATACTTGTAAATCACTTATTTAATGTATATTTACTTGAACAGAGGCACAAGACATGATCATATTTGATGTGGTTGGATCTCCTTCAGAAAATATGTTGTACGACTTTTTACCGTTCTCCATTCTCTCCAAACACACTCTACACAATGTTCCTATGTTAATATCGCAAAATACATTGATTCTGTCGTGGCTTAGGTATTTAAAATCCTCCATAATATTAAAATCCATTTTTGAGGTTATTTACAACAATCGGGAGCCATTTGCGTTGTGAACACCTTAATTCTTACACTGCGCATGTAGGCTGAGAAGCATCGATTTTGATTCTTGGGTGTGCCTCAGAGGTAAATATGAATAAAACAAGGTTTAAAATAATAAATAAATTTATTACATGGTTGTTAAATAGTAAAATGCTACAGATAAATTGTTGAACACGGAATGATAGATAAATTTACAAGTTTAGGCTTAATATGTTTAAGTACAAATTTACAATTGAGAATAATTCATACAGGCGGACACGAAATTTTGAACCCGTTGACATCAAAATCTAAACTTCCTTTATGGACAACTAACCATACTAGTCTTTTGATGGTCAATATTGTATGATACAATTTGTATCTTACAGATTTAAACATAATAAACATAGGTATGATTTATTATCTATGCATAGGTAATACACACGGTCTTATATAAGACCGTGGTAATACACAATTATGACGTTCAGAATTCCGTGTCAGCCATGATTGATTTTATAATTATTTATAAAAAATTAAATAAAATAATTAAAAAGTTTTTTATTACCTACAGGGTGATCGAAAATGGGGTAAAATTTAAGTATAAAAAATTACAATTTTTTTTCTTCTTTTAGTGATGAATTGAATTTTATTTATTTTAATATTTTAAGAATTTTTATTTATGTAAATTTTATAGTGATGCAACGAATAGTACTTTTACGAATACGAATATCAAATTCGCCTCGAAAAGGCTTTTTTCAGTCGTTAACGGATATTCCCAGCCCGGGATCCCGATATCCAGATCTGGATCTGAAGCCTGCCTGACAGGCAATTTATTTTTAGTCACCAAAAATAAATTGCCTGTCAGGCAGGCTTCAGATATTGTGCTTTGTTAACAAAACTTTGCCAGTTGTAAATTTTAATTACTAGAATAATAAAATAAATAGAAAACGATTAAATATATGAGTTTTTTATTAATATATATTTCCGAGGCGACTGTACACATCCTTGGGAAATGTATATCGTCTTGACAGAAGGCCAATCCCTGTTGTAAATGAGCGATTAATTCCTTATTGAAACCTATTGGTTGGTATCAATAGGTCTGAATTGGACTTACTGGGTTTAATTGGGGGCGATATTAAACAGAAATTGGTTTTTACTGGTATTCTCCATGATGGAAAAGTCCGATTAGGATTCTACTATTTTTTTAGTGGTTTCAAATGGTTACAGCTACCAATAGGTAATTTCCAATTGAACTCAATTGGGCATTCCCAGTGTAAGATTCTAGAAAGGAATCTGCTAATTGGTTATTCCAAATACTTTAAAATATGAAAAGTCCAATTAGGATTCTACTGTTTTTCAGTCGTTTCGATTGGTTAAAGCTACCAATAGGTAATTTCCAATTGAATTCAATTGGGCATTCCCAGTGTGAGATTCTAAAAAGGAATCTGCTAATTGATTATTCACAATACTTTAAAATATCGCAAGAGGGCTCTCGTGTAGCTGCACAAAACCAACGTACGCAGTCCTTGTTCAAATGGTTGAGACGCCATCATAAAGAAACAAACAAGTCTTTGGATGCTATTTAATGTCGTTTTCTTAATTAGTCGGTTTCTTTTATAATCTATGGGTTTCTGTGTATAGTGGTGTGTACTAATACCTTAATAAATGTTTATATATACACATACACATATATGTGTAAGGTTTAGGGACGATGGCGTGAGAATGGTGGTTACAGCGGACAAAATAAAAAAAATTGACATAAATATTATTGATTTCGACCATGCCTACAAACATCCTTTGCAAGAAAGAAAATAAAATGATTATAACCGAGTAATTTTATTTATTTTATATTACTTTTTTTGTGTTAGTAAGTTATATGTAGAGTTGGGGATGGTCAATTGACTGTCAATTGACCGCTACCTATTTGACCGGTCAAGTGACCGTTGACCGGTCAAAATATATTTAATTTTTGCAGCATTTTATTTAGGTATCAACAATTAACCGTGAAAATTTTTGCGATCGTGCAATATCGACATTATTTACAATTTGGTGGTTCCCCGAGTCGAGGGGTTGCTAGGCCGGACTCGGCGCTTTGACCTTAAAGCGTCAATTGACCAAAAACAATTTGACCGGTCAATTCCACAACCCTAGTTATATGTATCAATACATATCTCACTACTACAAACAAATAATAAAGAAATAAATTTACTCACTTATAACAATTTTTTGTCTTCTGTGAAAAATGAATTCTGGTTTTTACCCGGTTATTCTTCTGGGACCTTAATTATTTTTGAATGAAAAATCAAGTGGTATTATTAATCAAAATTTAAAAAAATAAATTGGTTCAAATTGGTTTAAATGGGTTTGGCCCTATGAATTACCAATTCATTCCAGGAGCATTTCATTCCAGGAGCATTTCTATTGGATTTAGCCAATAGAGACAAGCATAGGCATGGCTTGGTATATTCCTATTTAAGCCGCTGACTTTATTGGAACTTACCAATAGGAATGCAACTGGAATGAATTGGTGATTCATAGCGCCAAAACACATTTCAAACCAATTATTTATTTTTTATTGGATTCTATCGGTCATTTACAATAGGGATGATCCATCCAGCAGACGTCAATAGTTTTAGGGAATCCCCGAAGACCGGGGAGTCCCCATCATTGCGTCTAAAGCATTCGGATATACACGATACAGTCAAACGGAGTAGCGTTAAAAATTTTTTTTTTAATATTCGGCGAATACGAATATTCGTATTCGTTGCATCACTAACACAAAAGCATTAAACACAGTTTTCTAATGACATTTAAAAAAATAAAAGTTAAAATTTAACAAATTTAAAGTTTGGATTATGGAAACAAAATTTACAACGCATCTACGCCGACTTAAACAACCGTTTTTAGATGTCTCTTAAGCCCGTATTACAGTCTGCAATTTTACTTGCAGCAATCTTTCTATCAGCAATTTTTTTGCATGCGTTTTATTGCTGACTGCCTTGTCTAGGTCTGACTGTAATACACTTTGCAATTCTACTTCCAACTTGCATGATACTAACTAATAAAAATTTATAAAATATTATAAAGTACAATTAAACTTAGCTCCTGCCACACGACATTATAATATATATTATGTAATAGAATTTAGAATACAAAGAATCCAACACACAAAAACAAACCAGCGCCTCTAGGGAATTTAAAGTGTGAATTGGTATAAAAAAGTTACCAATTTTTTCCCCAAACTTGCATGCAATAATTAGGCAATAAAAATCGAGCAGGACCGATATTTTGAAACATCGCTATACGCATGCGGGCTTTAAATCGGCTTAGAAAATAAACAGCGTTGCCAAATTGTAATTTTTTATACATAAAATAATGCTATTACTCGCTGAACACTTTCCGTTTTTTAATATGATAAAGAGTTTAATTTTTAACTATCCGACATATAAAAATGTTTAATTTTTAAAATCAATATTGAGAAACAGCGAATGTTTTAGTTTACATTTATTTATGAAGGCGCAGGCCCTTAGAAAATAATCAAACTCTACCATATTAATTTTTCTGACACCCTGTATAATACAATTTTTTTAAGTATCTGCCTTTATATTTATGCTATGTTTATAAAAGCATTTTAACATTCATTGTATAAAATGTATTAAAATACAGGGTGTTTTAAAAAAGAACAAAATTTTACAAAAACATCCTAGCATTACCAATTTTGTTTTGTTTATGTTTACAAAACAACTTAAGCAATTTCTTTAAATCTTAATAAAAAATAAAAAAAAATTGAACAAACAATAATAACTAATATTATTTTAACAAATGTATTAAATAAATAATAACCCAAATCAGAAAGTTTGTCTTAATACTACAATATCACTTGTATTTACAGCTAACTGTATCCTTAAATCGACAAAGAAAAAATCGCATTTAATTTCAACTTTTGTGCGTCTTTAGATGCCTTATCAGATGTGCCTTTTGCGAAAACCTTTTATTACAGTATTCGCACAAAAACGCTTTTTCCCCCGTGTGCACCAACATATGTTGATAAAGTTGCCCTTTTGTACTAAACGATTTCGCGCACTGATCGCAATGGTAATTTTTCTCACCGGTGTGTATTTTTATGTGCGTATTAAGGTTAGAACTGCTAGCAAACCTCTTGCTGCAGTACGTGCACCCATAAGGTCTCTCCGACGTGTGAATCGCGATAGTGTGCTTTGTTAGCTGCTGCGCGGTAGCGAACGCTTTCGAGCAGGCCGCGCACACGTGGTTCTTCTCGCCGGTATGCGTGCGCATGTGGGTGTGCAAATGGCCGCCGTTGATGAAGCGCTTGTCGCACAAGTGACAGATGTAGGGGCGTTCGCCCGTGTGGATTCTGATGTGGTGCACAAGACCTGGTTTCGTGCGGAACACTTTGCCGCACGTGTCGCACTGGTGTGGTTTTGTCGATTTTTTTTGTTTAACGGGCTGTGTTTGGGTTGTGGGCGGGGTCAGGTGTACCAGCGTGAGGTCTTCAACCTAAATTAAAGGTGTTTGGTTAGATTGTGTTTCGGGACGACCTCGTCAGCAAGTGGTCTTATACATTCAAATATCCAAGAATAACATTTTAAATTGACCTAATACTTAAAATATGTTAATTTCAAGACAAAAATCTGAAGTACCGTTTAAAAAAACGTGCTATATATACAGGGTGTCCCATAATTAACGTTCAATACTTTAACAGCAGATTCTACGTACAAAAATAAGAGAAAAAATCCTATAAACATAGGTCGAGAAATGCTGCCTAAGGGAGCTACAGCCCCCGAAAGAGGGGCCCATGAAGATGATTTTTATTTAATAACTCCAATGCCGTTAAAGACCACAGTCACGTTCGAGTACTCGTCAGAGTTAGTCGCATCTTGCCGTATCGCGCTCTTGAAACTTACAAACAGCAAAGCTCGCAATGATTGCTTATAAAGTGCAAATAGTCTGTAGTGTGGCAACTAGTGTGTGTAGACCACCCTAAAGCCAGGGAAGTGTTGAAGTTGAGGTGTAGATTGACACCTTACGGGTGGTGGACCGCGGTCTAGCCACGCATTTGGATGCTTTTCACACGAGAAACAAAAGAGGCCAATTTGCAATTCTCGATAAGTCACCTTAAAAATCTGCATGACCTAATATATTATTTGCCACCATGGCAGGTACCTTGAAAAACCCTAAATGAGGCACTTTTCGCTTAAACATGAAAAAAACTAACCAAAAAAAAATAAACAAAGTGCACCAGTAACATTAAGACAATAGTAACAAAACAACAACAAAACAAACAAAACAAAACTGCCCCAACTCTTAACTCGGTCACAGGAAAGCTGACTTGGACAATAAATCTATCAATAACCAACGACAAAGACTAAGCCCATAAATTAAAGAAAACGGCCTCAACAAAAAACGTTAAACGAAACGATACCAAATAAACACTTCAAATCCAAACGAACATTAAATTAAGAAAACATAAAAACAGAATATAAACACACAAACCGAATTCTAATGGAATTGGTAGTTACATTAGTATACAATGGAAGTCAAAAATACCTACCACCGGTAACTGTCAAATCGCATCAATTGCACACCAACTGTTTAATACAAAGATATGATTGCAACGCTAAAGAAAACAATAATATTTACCATTTTCGCTTAAAATCGATTTGAAAATTACCTTACTTGGCATAAAAATTCATAATGAAATCACAACTAGAGAAAAAGATTCAGCTTGGACCTTGGAACACGGCTGCCATGTTTAGGAAAAATTATTCAAGACTGGTGACATTTTCTGCAATGTAACAGGGAGTTTGATTAATTCTCAAAATTTAGTTTTTCTATCTTGAACGGTTTTGGAGACATTAAATAAAAACCATTATCAGGGTCTCCTCTTTTGGGGGCTGTAGCTCCCTTAGGAAGCATTTAGCAACCTATGTTTTTTGGAACTTTTTTTCCTATTTTTGTATGTGGAATCTGCTGTTAAAGTATTGCACGCTAATTATGGGACACTGTATATTTACCTATATACAGTGTGTCTACCTAAGTTGGCAACAAATCGATGACTTTTTGCCAAAGTATCGCAAGCAACATAATCCAAATTTCGGGAGTTGTGAACACATGTTTTCTTTATAGTCTGTTTTAAATTAAATATAGCCAAAAGGTTTTATAACAAGTAACTATCTTACAGTTTTAGCTATTTACTTGTTATAAAACCTATTGGTTGTATATAGTTTAAACCAAACAATATTTTCAATTCCGAAATTTGAGTTATGTTGCTTGCGATACTTTGGCAGAAAGTCATCGATATTGGAACCTTTTTTATTATTAATTTTAAGTTATTCTTCATAAAAAGTTCTGCATGTTCTAAAATTTCAAATACAACCATTAGATATAAAAAAAATTCAGTCGTTAACGCGGTTTGTCAAAAAATATGAATCTCACTCAAGATTAAAGTACCTTAATATTTGACAATATCTTATTAAAAAAAGTTGGTTAGAACTAGAACTAGAACTAAAACTACGTTCAAATTTGCAATTACTTTTTTTTTTGTTTAAATAACAATGCAAATGTAACTGTAGTTACATGTTATCTAGGATGCACAAACAAATAATATGTTGATAGCAAGAAATGTTTGACATTGAATGTCAAAACATCAGAATTTTTTTGTTTGTAATAAATAAAAAAGATAAATCGGTATCGGTAATTTGAGAAAAATTTGTACAATTTTTTTTTAAGTAGAAGGATGTAATAATATTAAAACATAGTTCTTCATTCCAAACAACTTTTCATAATTACAGTTTTTGATATTGTCACAAATAAAGGTACTTTACTCTTGTACCAAATTCATATATTTTGCCAAACCTCGTATAAGACTGAAGAAATTTTACATCTGATGATTTTATTTTAGATTTTAGAACATGCAGAACTTTTTATGTTGCCAACTTAAGTACACACCGTATATAGCACTCTTTTTGACATCCAAATTACACATAGAAAACCCGGTGCAAAGACAATTAGGTCGTCCAAGACACAGTAAACTTATGAAAACAATCAAAGTTTATTAAAAAACTCCATAATTATTATAAACATCAGAAACAACAAAAATTTACATCTCAGAAAAATTAAATCTTACCAAACCAAGGTGCAAAGACAACAAGTTGGTCTAGTAACTATTCACAGCTGTCAAAACTTTTGACTCAATATCTAAAAAGATATATTTTATCTAGGCTAACAACTTACGTTCCTATACAGTTGTCTAGGTGGCGTTTCAAAATTCCAGTATATATTTCGGAAAATTCTCCAAAATGTTGAAAAAATACCGATCCAAAACGTTATCCGAGCTTCAGAGCGATATGGAACTACTATTGTCGCAAAACTTGCACAAATCCTTGGTCAATTATGTTACAGTTGAAGAGAATTACGTGAACAACAATTTTGAGAAAAAATATTCAGATTACTTAAATTCAGGGAGTGAAAACGATGAATACACAGAGTTTATTGATATTTCCAAAGCCACGGTTTTTAATAAGGAAGAGAAAGACGATAAAACGTGTAAATTCCTATTTAAAAGCAGCAAAGTCTGTGAAGAATCAGTTTGTAACTCGCTTACAAGTTCGTCAAGAAAGAGAAACCCTATAGACAGAAGTAAAGTATCAAAATTTACAGCAAACTCCTATGACTCAAATACAAGAAAACAACTTGAACAACCTGCCAAAATTCTTAACAAATTTCACAGTCTAAACCGCGAAAAAGAGTGTACCATAAGAGATGCAATAATAGAGGCACAAAAATCACTAGCAACAACTTCCTCACCCAAAGTAAAAAGCAAAAAACAGCAAACAGAATGTGAGAAAAGATCAATTGGAGTATCAAGTGACATAACCTACTCTGTAGACAGCTCATCTCAAATGTATGAATCTGTAACTCACAGTGACTTGTTTTGCATTGACTGGGTGAATCGAAACTTATTTAGTGTGGCTCTAAGCCCTTTCAGTGTTGTTGTAAGTGATCGTCACAAAACAGACAGTGAAGTAACAAATATTACTGAAAGTGATGTAGACATGGTAAATTGTACTTCAAAATAAAAAAATACATACTTTAAGGTCCAAATCCACAGGTTTTAAGTCACTAAACTCAAGTTTTAACTCTTGCAGGCTGTTTTTATCAATATCATTCAATAAGGGACCCGGTTCTAATTGCACAGTAGTCAAAATAGTTGCATCTTGAATTTGGTTTGCTTCAGGTAAAGTAATGTTGTTTATTTCATTGATATGTTGTACTTGTGGTTGTAAATGTTCACTTGTACCATCAGTACCCTCTGTAAATTCCACCGTAGCACTAACTTCATCCTTTTTAAGCTCAATAAAGCCCAATTCAGCCTGTTGCGACAAGTTATTAAAATTCTCAAAACATTGCCTTAACTTCGCGTCTGAAGTCTCACACTGCGTTTTAAACTGAAAGGCTATGTTTAATTTCGATATACACTTCTGGCATATGTACGGAGGCAAACCGTCACCTTCTAAAACCTAAGAAAAACATTAAAAAAATCGAAAACGTTGCAAGTTTTAAAAATCTTACTTGGACAGCAGCGCAAGCCATTATAAGTATGGAAAAATGCGGCGGTTTTATAGGATCGAATATAGGCATCAATTTGGGGCCTTTTTCCAAACATATCCTGCAAATATTGTTAATGTTAATCGTTAAATAATAGTTTAAAAGATCGCTCTGCTGCATGTTTTTGTTATTGTACGCCATCTTTGTGTGTACTGTCAGTGCAGCGATCTACCTTACCGACACTACAGCCGCGGTGATTGGTCCAAATAACTGGTCGAGAGGCTAGATTTAAATTAAATTGTAAATTTTACAATGTAAATGTAAATAATGGTACAATGGATTGTGAGTATATACTTACCTCACAGTGAAAAGTATATGAGTATATAATATTCCACCACCGCAAGGAATTTAAAGCCATTTTATTTGATAATTTATCTGTTATCTGACAACTGTCAAGCATTTTTAACCTCACTTTTTACCAATTTTAACCTAAAGCTAAATTCAGCATGTGGGCAAAGTAAAATTTTGCCCATTGGTAAAAGTTAAGAAATAACATGGGTGTTAAATAAAAGTCGTAGGTATTTTTCTTAAATCGTCTATTGGAGATATAGAAATTTACATATAAGTACATTTCTTTATGTGGCTTATTAAATATAATACTCTATTTGCAATCTAATGTTTTAAAGTGCAAAAATAGATACATAATCTACAGTAAATAGGTTTATTTAACAGTCTCGGGTAAATTTTATATTTCTACTTAGTTTAATCACTGAATTTGTAAATATACAATTCCAAGGCAGATTTGGGGTTTTGAGCTACCACAGGAAATGTGTTCAAATGTTGCAAAATTTTTAAAAGTGACAGATGAAAGTTTTCACAATTAATTTTTAAACATTTGAACAATTTTTAGTCTTTAGCAGATAAGTCTTCTTTTTGTATAAAAAATCATGCAAAATTAACTGTTGTGTCCTTGAATTAATATAAAACAACAATTAAATTTCAATGTTAAAATGAAATATACAATTTAAAGTAATTATGTATGGGTCATTTCTTATCTCTACTTTATTATTACAATTTTAATGGCCGTTATTCAAAATGGCGATCAATAAAAAACAATTGAAAGTTAATAATACAAATACAAAATTTGGCGCAAAATACAACAATAATAGTCAAAAAAGTTAATAAAAGCACCTCAGTGTATCAAAATTATTGCAAATCATTGTTTTGTGCATTTAAAAATAATTATAATTCTGTATATCACAAGTAAATAACTAAAAATACAGCACAATGTCTTAAACAAGAAAATTACCAATTAAATATAAATAATTAAGTATAAACTAGGCAAATTGTATAGCCTGTTAATCCGTACGCCCCCTTAAGTAAAAATTAAGGGAGGTTTTATTATATAAATATAAATCGGATAACAAAATATGTACATGTACTAAAAATAATATAACAGAATACCTTAAATAATATGTACAGTCGCAGAAAATGAAATACTAGGGTTAAATTGTTAATAATAAAAAATTATCAATAATACCACAAACGCGAAATTAATAAATTAGGTCCCAACAATATGACACTCAAGTAGCATTTGCAGGGAAAATCATTGACACCAAACTGGTTCCTAAAAAAAAGAAAAAAAAATCATCAAAGTTGATTAATACATAAAATGAAAGTGTAGATGAGAGCGTGGTATTTTAGAGATACCAACTATTTAACCAACATTCTATTTCTGGAGCCTACACAAGGAGTAAGAACTTTGTAGGGGGATTTGACAGAACCGGCCTACTAAATCGCACAAATTACGTCTTCTTTTTTCACCACCAGCGGCGCTGATTTTCTTTTTGTAATGTTTTGGTAGAAACCAAACAATAAACAGAACAGCAGCGCCCCCTGGAAACTTTGTATACATGGAGTTCGGACTTCTTGTGTAGACTCCATGATTCCATTGTTAAAATCAGAATCGGAATGTTTTGATGCGTTGAATTTGAATCCTATCTCAGAATTGCCCAACCCAAAAGTATAAAAAACGTGTTTTGTTATATCACGAAATACTCTTTCTCTTCAAAATCATTTTTAAAATTATTCGATAGCTTTCCTCTTCTCCGATAAATCGTTATTTGAAATTTATGATCAAAACGAAGAATCAAATTTTTACCTAAATCAAACTTTTAACGATTTAACGATTCAAATAGGAGAAGTGAAATTCAAAATGATAACTAGTTTTATGAAAAAAATAAATGTGTGCCACTTAGATATATGCTGGGATATATGTAAATATTTCAATAATAATTGTACTGTAATATTTTACCAAAATACAGGCGATTATTATTATTATTATTATTATTTTTATTAATATGACCTCAAATATTGAAAAAAACACTTATGGGTTCGATATTACCAAACACTCCTCTAAATAATAAACTGTATTATTTTTTATTAGTTAGTAAATGTTATTGTTCCTAGTAAACCCTCATTTCCTTTATTGGGGCCAACAAATGGTTAATTTTTAAATTATGTCGTTCATGTATAATGCGGGTATAACTATAAATTATAAAATAAAAATTAAATTGCGGCGGTAGAATAAAATATTGCGAATCAGAAATTTAAGTTTCCCAGAAATTTAGATAAAACCATCTTGTGTTGTAGGTAACAACCATGCAGTGGTGCCAGATAGTCATTTTCCATTTTTTTGTCAATACATTTTTAAATATAACATTTTCATTTGTACAGGACGTTTAATATTTAATGGAATATACTGTTTTCCTTATATTTTTGAATTCTACAGACTTTTTTAATTTGTAAATAAATTAATTATGAAAATATTTATATTTCTTGAGTAAATTGAAAAAACAAAAATCTATCCCTTTATTAATAAATACCTGAGCAATAAGTTAATTATATACTTTTTCTAAATATTATACCCCGTAAAAAATGAAGTTTTTTCAATAACCTTAAATTTAAATATTTTAAATTAAATTTCAACTATCTATCGTACCTTATATGGTGTTTCATATCCCCCTTTACTTTTCATTTGATTTTGAAGTGCTATCAATTGGTCGCCAGGCATTTCAACGTCCCTGCTTCCTATGTGTCCTGTATGTTGAAAATTTGTTGGATTACCTATCATTGACCTGCGAAAAAAAAATATTTTAGGTACTGTAAAGAAAAAAGTTGTGCACTTCTACCACAAAATTTGTAATGCTTGTATCTCGGAAAGTTTTAATGTAAAATTTTTAAAATTTGGGGGAAGTATTAAATTGGTTAAGTTTTATAATATACTCATAAATTACATTATGTTATTAAAACTCTTTGAGATACAGTGGACAGGTGTAAAAGTTTTGCAGCAACATACTTTTACCACTGTACCTTTTATTGGTTTATTTTATTTTTAGAGGCGATTAAGTTACGATATTTATTCAAAAGACTATTTTGATATTTATGTCAAGCGTTTACAACAAGCTAAAAACGTTTAATTAGTCTATGGTCGGTCACCTTAAGAGTACCATACGCAGGCGACCTTAAACGATTCAGTACGTCAATGCCGATTCCATATCGAACAACGGGAAATTTAGAAGGAGAAAATATATTTTTTTAAATTTCAAAAACATAGGCAGGTACTTTAATACAAAATAAGTAAGTTGTTTTTTATTATTTTAATTTGTTAATAATAACAAAGTTATTTCAGCTGATCAGACACGCAGGTATTACTTGGGACTGCAGTGTAATTTTGCTGACCAAAAATTACAAATTCTCATTTTTGCAGATCAAAAATAGCTTAGTATGAATATTCTTAAAATAAACTTCGTGACTCATATAGCATTCTTAAGATATTAATACCGTGTAAGTTGAAAACCCAACTTACAAAGTTATAATTACTTTTACTAAAACAATAGTATTCTTATAACAAATTAAATTAATAAATTAAATCATTTTAACTAGATAACCGCTTAAAAAAACTTACTTAAGTGTCTGGTACATATTTAAAAGTACATTAAAATGAGAGATGTAAAAAAATAAACACATATGCTACAAAATAAAAAGATTTTAAATGTGCCATATGTACTGCCAAAGATATTATAATTTTTAAAGTATTTTTACTTACATATTATGTCAGTACTTATATAGGTCTTTATAATAGACTAATTTTAAGATAAGAATATAATAACTTTGAAATATAATAATATAATTAATTTAAAAACCATGAGAATCTACTTTTTAAGATAATCACTACCTATCTAAATACAAATACAAAGTGTTCTAAAAATAAAATATATTAACTCGGAAAAATGTTGCATTTATTTTTAGTGACGGTTCAAAAAAGGTTGATTATAAGTAGAAATGAATGCGAATTCACCGATAAAATTCCAAGAAACAGACATATACAAAACACTGACACCAATATTACCATGAATCATATGCATACATGTACAAAATTATTAGCATATTGACTTTTGAAAACATTAAACAAGTGAATTCTACAAATTTGAACAGATTTCAACTTGAATATTTTTTTATTTGAAACAAATAAACATCCATCCCCATATGGGATTTGAATCCCCGATCTCGGCTTGTAGTCCGTAGCGAATCAAATCAAAACATTTATTAGAACTATCATAGTTTACAATTCAGTATCGAAATCATAGAAAAGGCAACGTTTCATGCCTAACGAGAAGGTAAAATTTTTTAAAGAAATATCAGAATTAAAAGATCAGTAAGTACCTAGGGCCGAGCCAACCCAGGGTGCAAAGGGTGCACTGCGCCCGGGCGGCAACTATTGAGGGGCGGCATTTTAGAAAATATTTGTACAGAAAGTGACGGTAAACTTTTTAATATTGTAATTGATTCTGATCCAAGTGCATGGTCTACACCTTTATCTGACAAAATAAGGTTAATGCTAGTAGAAAAGAACTTATCCCAAAGACGCTAGCACTAGAAGTTAATGAAATAAATATTTTTTAAAAACTTTACCAAATGGTGAATCCGTTCAACACACTTGGATATTCTAAAAAATATACTCTGTGTTTTGTTTCCCATGTAAGTTATTTGGAAATGCATCTAGTTCTTTGGGGCTAGATGGATTTCGAGATTGGCAACATTTATCGCGAACCTTAAGCCGACATGAAAGTTCTAATAGTCCGGGAGGCAGTGAAGATTTTTATCTTCTTATTTTCCCAGTTTGTGAATGTCATTAAGTTTGTTCAAATGGTGACACAAAACGACAATTTGTGTGTCTGGATAAAATTTTTGGATGGGTTCACTAGATGAGCCAAAAAGTCAAGTCCACTTATTTTCCCAGTCATAAATATTTCACATTAATTAAAGTGAGTCATTTTATTAATGGAAATAACAGTCTGGCACATCCCAAGTGAAGGAAAGTCAGTCTGGCTGAAAATTTGCGGAAGCAAAAATTTGACCGGTTTTTGAAATACGTAGCCCTTATTTTCCCATGCTTAAAATTTAACCCATTATTTGGTACTGTCATAAACTATAATCAAAATTAAGTCTGGCTGATTTATGAAATTGGCAAATTGTTCTGGCGGCATCTTGAAAATCGTAAGAATTACAAAAATTTTGCTCTTATTTTCCCGGATTTGAAAATTTGTCACATGATAATTAATACTATAATTTCGTAGAAAATACACGTCTGGCTGTTATTTACAATCACGAAAGCCCCGCCAGACTGCGAAAATAAGGGCAATGGTTTTGATAATATTTCCACCTGCCAGACATATTATCCATACTCACAGATTAGCCAGACTATTTTTTTTCTTAAGTTCACTATATCTCTCACAAATGGAATTATTTTTATCACTGGAAAAAAAGTGCAATATATTTGTACTTTATAACGCATTTTCCGCCTTAACCCATCGGAAACCCCCCCCTAAATATATATAAATTTTGCTCAGAATAACAAACCCAATAATTGTATCGGTGTTTGCCGACTGAGAAAATAAGTACCGAAAATCTTCACTGCCTCCCGGTTGGACGAGTCTGGCAAGGCTTTCGGAGTGTTCCACATTAGCCAGACTATATTTGCAGCTGTAATTATAATATAAACTATCATCTCACAAAATTTTTAGGACTGCGAAAATAAGGGCAATGGTTTTGATAATTTTTTCCTGCCAGACATATTACCCATACTCACAGATTAGCCAGACTATTTTTTTTCTTAAGTTCACTATATCTCTCACTAATGGAATTATTTTTATCACTGGAAAAAAAAGTGCAATATATTTGTACTTTATAACGCATTTTCCGCCTTAACCCATCGGAAACCCCCCCCCTAAATATATATAAATTTTGCTCAGAATAACAAACCCAATAATTGTATCGGTGTTTGCCGACTGGGAAAATAAGTACCGAAAATATTCACTGCCTCCCGGACTATAATAATAATAATAATAATAATAATAAACGTCTTTATTGAAATAAGGAAATACATTATTCCAAATGGCGGAATTTGAATTTAAACATTAAAAATGTAAAAATTCATTCTTACATTCAACCAAAATGATCATATTAAATGTTGCAACAAAATGATTCAATTACAAACTTCATTAAAGTGTGGCTCAACAATAGATTATTTACAGGAAAAACTAATTAACAGTGAACAGAAAAGATGGTGTTTTGTTTTAGAAAGAATTATATCGGTTGTTAAATTTTTAGCTAAGCAAAACCTAGCTTTTAGGGGTAATTCTAGTAAATTATTTTGTAATGTTACATGTTACACGTCTAACTCGCAGCAGAGCAGCAACAGCAGCCCAGCAGATAAGACCTGAAGATGGTACATGAGATTGTACCGAAACGTCGTCAGACATACGGTTCTTTTAAGAACCAAAAACCGACAACACGCAGCAGATCCCGAAAAACCACTAATACATGTATACATAATAATTTTATTAAGTTAAAATAGTGTTTTTAAGATTTTTATCTACTCCTACTAGGAGTCCTACATTGACGAGCTGTAACTTTATGGCGTTTTATTGACGGGCTGAAGTTAACAACAGTGGCTTTTCGACATTTTACGTCACGGGCTGAAGTTAGCTTTATTATAAATTGAGAAAAAGTGAGGTTAAATTCGGGTGACAGTTGACAGATGTCAAAATTTTAACAAATAAAATTGGCTTTAAATTCTGTTTTGTGTTCGTCGTAGATAAAGTATAGTATGCAACTCCTTTATAAACTTCTCTAGACACTCGTTTTTATTAAATACTCGCTCGCAAGCTTCACTCGTGCTTAATTAAACTCGTAACTAAAATGGCGTTTATAAAACTTGATACATAATATACTATTTTTCCTCTAAGGGGCGGCAAGCTTTTAAATGCACCTGGCGGCAAAAACACTTGGTGCGGCCCTGAGTACCTAATTCAGTTTGTTTGTTTTTAGGTAATTGTAATTTGACTTCAAAAATTTCGGGGTTTAGTTGGCAAATTCTAGGGACCCTAAATTTATAATTGTGTAAATTGAGTAAAACAAAATTATTCTGTGAATTTATGCAGCACAAATTAATTATTTCATTAAAATGCTGTTTTGTTTTTAAAATTTCTTTACGTCTTGAGTTGTTTGTTATCTTTGGCATTGATAATTATAATTATAATAGGTACTAACATTTAAATGAAAATGTCAATTAAAATTAAAGCATTCAACAGGAGTGACAATTTTAAATATTAAAGTATTCAGTACCAACATAATCCAAAGTGTCAAATTCAGAATAAAAAAGTATACAAAAAACAACAAAGTTATCCAACAAGTAATTTTTACGTTATCAAGTATCAAGTTTGAAAATTCAGCAACTCTATGTATTTCCTGGACAAACAGAATATCACACATTTAAAAAGGCTGTTATGGAAACAAAACAGGGTTGGAAAAAGTCATGACTTAATTTTTACGCTGTGACTAGAGACACGCTAACGTGCCGCGATTCGAAATGTTAAAGACACGTTAGTTACGTCATAAACCCAAACCATCCCAAACTCAACAACACAACCCAACCGACCCCGCCCCATTGCCCCCCCCCCCGCCCCATTGGGCAAAAAACCCAACTAAAATGGGCAAATTTATGTTACGATAAAAATAAAACACTTTTCAACAAAGGAACAACAAATTTATGAAATAAAAAAAGTTTGACAAC